GGCCAAATGTAATTAGGCTGCCGGCCAAATTTGGCCCGCGGGCCAGAGTTTGACACCTATGATCTATAGGTAATGTAGAATCTGATTTAAGTGTTCCATAATGTGTTTTCTTAACAGCTACACTCCCACTTTAGGTGTTTCAAAGTGCAAGTTTGTGTATCACACTGTCTTAAAAGTAAAGCTAATGTGGAAATGTCTTACACTTGCATTCTTTCTGATGACCTGCAGGGGGTGATTCATGTGGTTGAGGGCTGACAGTATTGAAGAAAAGCCTTTTGGCTCCCTATGACCTCATGAAACACTTTACTGATGTGTTTATGGTCTCCAACACAAGTTTTAAGCCTTCTAGGAACAGCATGATGGCTATTTTGATTCAACAGAAAGGACTGCCCCCATCTGAAGACAGACGCTGTCTGCAGGCAGACTTGTAGTCTGTAGTAGCTTTTCATGTCCGGTTTCGCCATTATTAAGACGGCAACGGTGAAAACATTCACATAGGGACTTCACAAATCAATGGGTGATGTCAGTTGAGAAAGTGCCCATCTTTTCTATACAGTCTATGGTATTACAGCAAATCAGTGACATGTAACTGTCAACATTAAAAAAAAAACGTAATAAAAGATTCATTGGTTATGTTGCAATTGCTGACAATACCATACCGCATATTAACAGTGACAGTCACAATGAACTTTCACCTGTTTATCATTGAGTTACCTACTGTGTCACAGAGTAACAGTGTTATTTTAAATCTTTGAATATACCTAATTCCTCTTTCTGTCCACAGCTGGACAACCTTACTCTGATGGAGATCAACACCATACGAGCGTTTCTTCTTGATACTCTCAACTGTATGTACAAGCTACGGTCCAACTTGCAGTGAGGGGCAGCTCACGGACTACTGGTAAAAAAGCTTGAAGACACACAAGGCTTGCTAAAAAGGGTTGGATTTAGCAAGACTGGGGTTAAACCTAACATTAAAGACAGTTTTCTGGAAAAGTGAAGAGATTTACTCAGCTATTTAAATTATCATGTTGCTCTCTGGTCTGATTTGTGTGTATCTGCTGTTTGCAGTGAGTGTATCATTTGTGAATGTTGTCATTAGGTTTGAAAATGTATGTATGTGCATGTAAACAGAGTATATACATGTATACTTTTTTCCTCACAATTTTTAATCAGTCTTATTCTGATTTTTGATCTTGTTGTTGTGTTAGTGATTAAAAAAGATGTTTTCTGGTTTATTAGAATGAATGTGGATTCTGTGAAACATTGGTAAACTAAACAATTCCTTCCTAAAATGTATTTAGGTGGGGAAAAAACCCCACATTAAAAGGAATTCCACTCAACTCTTGTTGCATTTTATTCTAAAGATGGATAATATTGGTTGATATTGTTCTCACGATTGCACCGAAAATGAATCAGTTTCCTAATCTCCAGTGCAAAATGTCCAGCTGTTAAACCAGAACCCACAAAGAGACAAAGGTTGATATTTAACATTTTTGAAATATTTTATTTTCTTTTTTGTCTGAAATCACAGCCATATATTCATAAATACCTAATTACTACATTCAACAAAGAATATATTACATTACAATGAATTCAAACAAGTACATTTTAAAAACAGGATTTCACAGCATCTAGACATCCTCCACTGAGTAATGGGGCTATTGCATGAGCGTGCGTGGGTTGGAGACACGGGGAGGCTGAGCAAGAGAGGCTTACCACACTGCACCTTCCTCCCCAGCTCAATGGCAGCTTACCTCAGCATGCATGCTCCTTCACTTACAGATAGGTTACGCTGTTGGCTTTCTTCTTTGTAAAGTAAAAAAAAAAAAAAAATCTGACTACACTCTGTATTCCTCTAAACTGGCTTACGTCTCATTTATATAAAAACAAAAATTGTCTTGTGACTCATTTGGATGAAAGAAACTTGGTATCTGTTTGTGACTTGTACATATTTGAAAGGTATGACATACAGTAGACACTTGGATGTAATATGCAAAGTCCCTGATCACTGATGTTATGTCATGTAATGTCTGTCCTGTAGACGGAAACTCATTCACATGCTCCCAAATTCTTGAGGCACTTGTAATAAAGTGTATGTAAGGGGGTAAGTTGTGCTTCAGTACTTTTTTTTAAAAAATAAATTAAATATTGGTACATTTTTAAAGTTTTTATTTGCAAATACTGAAATCCTTAACCCACTCACATCAAACATCCCACCACCACACCTTAACATGTCAAACGATGACCTAGACACCTCATTTCACTGTGTCTGAGGTCTCCAAGTGCACATAGAACCATAAGGTGGAGACAAGATGAATTACAGGGTAGAAAGTCACTGTAATACGAGCCAAATCTCATTAGGAAGATGGGGGGCAGATGGAGGTTGTAAACAGATATCCAAGGTAAAGCAAACCTTTCTGATTTTAAATGTACCAGGAGCTGCTCAGTTAAGCGTCCTGCCTGGTTTCTAGGACATCTTGGCAACTTTGTGGGGGTGGAGAGCGTCCTAAAAATAGAGAAATGCAAAGAGTAGATGTTATGTCAAACATATTCAGCAGTATAAGATGGCCATTCTGGTTTGTATGTTTGGCTACCCAACTGCAACTAATAATTTACTATGCTATAGTTTTATCATTATTTTGGCACCATTTCGTCTCATGGCTGCTGACAGGGGCTTGATCTTGTAAGGCATACCGCAAACCGTCATATCGTGTGTTTGAGTTCAATGCTATGCGTCATACAAAGTAAAGTGAAGGTCCAAAAACAGTATAAAGCAAGATTTATCTGCTGGCTGTGTAAGAAAATGTCTTACAAAAATCAAGAAAATCAAGTTTAAAAAAAAAAAAGTGGCTGTGGATCTGGTTTCTGCATGAGTACTTAACTAACTGGTCATGCCAGCAACAGTAAAGCTGACTGGGAGGAGCTGATGAAATGGGCATTAAAACAGAGACACACTGCTGTGAATGAAGGGGGAGTGGAGGGCATGAGCCACATCTCAGGACCTCTAAGTAAGCTTTGCTGAGCTCAGAGGCCAGATAAGGTGGCTGTGGCTGGGGTCTCAGCTGCGCAGTGCCGGGACAGAATAAGAGGAGTGCATCCTGCTTCCTCTCACTCTGCTAAATGTCTCAAAACAAGCTGTTCTAGCCAGCAGCAGTACAAACACTAAAAGCAAGGCTTTCTTTTTTTTCAACCCAAAAAGCATAAACATATAAAATGGCAGGCTTTTTCTTTTAAAAGAACAATGATTAAAGTAATAAAAACATACAAAATTCTTTTTAAGTCTTCATATTATATACAATACAAGGCTTAAGCACCTTTTAAAATTCTTATTTTGAAATTTTCTATTTCGAAATAAAACATTTACTTAATTCTTTCCAAAAATGTGCATTTTCTAAGTTCTTCCCTAATTTGAACAGTTCTTTGTTGTAACACAGTACCACCAGGTAGTTCTTCAGCTTTTATTAAGTGCATTTCCAGTTCAAAAGCTCATGTGGCCACAAAATAAAAGGAAAAAAAAAGAAAAGAAATCAGTCCCAAATGACCAAAGGTCTTCATTTGGAGATTTGGAGCTTTCAAGTCTTGTAACGACACCCCCCTCTGGGGGTAGCTGCTCCCTCATTGGCAGGATTGTCTGTGTAGCTGTGGCGGTGAGGGATGCAGGGACTGAACAATAGCGCAGCAGGGACTGAAGAATGAAAAGCAGGTGTCATCTTGATCTTCAGGTTTTTCTGCCCCATACACTCACTGATCTTGGAGTTGGCTACATTGGCACACATTAGTGGCTTGTGGTGCAGTCCCTGTTGACCCATAATCCAAAGACTGCCTGTACTTCACTGAATGGTCCGGTCTCCTCTGCATTCACCTATCTATCTATCCATCCATTCACTCCATTCATTCATTCATCGTATCTAGCCAGCCGTATTATCCTCCATGGAGCTATGAGGACCAGGCCATTAAAAATAAACTCTGGGTGTCAGTCTGAAAGGGGAGGAGGCTGGGGCCCAAGGGCTATCAAAATCAGCGTCATGGTCACCTCGGAGGGTAACCTTTATAATGGCCGGCTCTTGGCCAGTGTGTCTGTGGCAGCGTCAAACACTTCCTGAAGTGTTCCATTTCTGCTTGTAGCTTCTCTCTTTCCACTGCCAGCTTCTGTCTTTGGGACATCAGCTCCTAGGTAACCAAGGACATTAAAAAATATATAAGAATATATATATATATATTTTTTTTTAATTCACAGTGATCTTCATGAGAAGGCAAACCTGTGCTATATATAACAATATTTACAAAGATAAGTGAAAAACAGAAAAGCAATAATATGAGTGTAATAAAGAAAAGCTGTCTGGATTCCAGTGATTAATCAGAAGAGGCCAATAGTGTAAAGTATACGTTTTTATTTTACTTTGCTCTGCTATTTATGAAACCACTGATCTACGAAAATAAGTAAAGTTGTGCACCCACTCCTATTATACATGCTCATAATTTCTTAGCAGAGCGCCGCTGCTAAGTCACTTGCAGTTATGTAGTAAATATTTTGACTTCCTGGCCTCAGCTTAAGTGGCTCCGTATGCTTGTCTTACCCCCATGGTATGAGACAGCTGCTCAGCAGTTAGACTAAGGTTGTAGTTCTGAGCTTCTAGTCTTCGACACTGGCTCTGCAGTACTTGTCGCTCCAAAGTTTGCTCTGGATCAGAAAATGGAATAAGAGAAAATTAAGAAAAACAGGATTAGCAGAATTTGGACCATCTAAATAGATGCAGGATGACCTGCTGCAAATGCCTTCAGGCTCCTGCCTTCATTGTTAAAGGTCTTAAAATACACTAGTGGCAGGCTGTGAATGTGAGACTGGGAGTAATTAGAGATCAACTCAACCATTTTTCGCTAATTTTCTTGTACAAATACTAAATACAAATTGAATTGTGTAAAATGAACAATGACTACTACCCTCTAGTGGTGACAGAATGCTACAACAACTTAAAATAGGATATACATTATACTCATAAGGAAGTGACACGGAAACACAGAACATTACAGAAATAATGTGACAACTCTTTCAAACTTCATAAATCATTATTTCATTATTATCACCTGTTTTATTTACTTTTCCCAAGCATATGCAGTGGCAATATACCAGAAATGTGTGGTTGGCTTTAATATTCTTTATTTCTACTGTAGTTTTTCATCCAGAAATGTATTTATATGACATAATTTATTTATAGAAACTACAGTTGTTGACTACAGTTAGTTACCTTACTTTCAGTGTTTTATTTTTGATATATGCGATTGATTACCCAGTGTGTTGTGGGTGTTTTTAAGCTTTTTGTGACTTTTTTTCATGACCTGCTGGAGCAAAGTGCTCTGTGTTCCACACATTCAGATTTACAAGTTTAAGCACTGTGTTTTTCTTTTTCTTCACTGAATATTAGCACTGTGTCTCTTTACATCTAGCAGGAGAATGCGTAGTTGAGTGGGGTTCACAGAAGTGAATAGGAAAGTAGGGCCTCGCTGCAGGCAAAGAGCTAAAAGGTGAAGGCGGGGCCAATTTGCATATTTGTAGATCACGCTCAATGATGGAAAAAATGTATAGTTGGATCTAAGCCAAGTAATTCTGATTTAGGGGATAAATCAATGACGCATGCAAAATTATATGTATTTGTGCACAATCAGTAATCTCAGTATATATTCCAAAGAATAAAGAAAACCCCTAATCCCTCATAAAATTATACAATGATAATAACAGAGGGACTGTTAAAGCTGTTTATGTATGTAAAGTGATCTAATATCAGTCCATGTAATACACAGGCACAGGCACCTCAGCTACTTACCTTCCACATATTCCTGATAAGCTTCAAATATAGATTCAATCCCCTGCCACTTGAAAACTGAAGCCTCTTCTTCCTCCTCCTCGTCTTCCTCTTCAGAGTCCTCTGGACCAGACAGGTCCTCCCTCATCCCCGATGCCTCCCTGTGCTGAGGCATCGAGAGGTGCTGCCCGTTGGGCTGAGGGTGAGAGTGCAAAAGTGGATGTGGAAATGACTGTGGAGTTGAGTGGGACTGTGAATGTGGCTGTGGTGGTCGGCCAGGAGGGCCCTGAAGCTCGGGAATGTTGTAGTGAACAGAGGACTCCTGGAGGTGGGATGACTCTGAAACCCCTGCGGCTCCACCTAATGGACAAATGTTGAGGAGAAGAAAGAGATGTCACATTTCATCAATTTCATATTTTACACATAGGGATATTTTCCATCATTTCTTCATATTTGATAGTCTCTCCAAAAATTATGTTGGCCTGCTCTCCATTTATTCACCTTTCCAAAGATGCCTATTAGACCTTATTTTGAGCTGT